TGCTTGGCTCAAAAGTTCAAATTGAAGGGATTTAGGAGTTTATTTAGTCACAGCTTGCTTCCCTGTACTCCTCCCCTAAACACTGCAAGTATTCCTGACAGGCGGTCATCTTGCATAGGTGGAACAATGGAAAGAGGGCTGGGCCTGTCGGTAGGAAGACCTGAGTTCAAATTTGTCCTCGGACACTTACTAGCTGTGTGACCCTGGGCAGGTCACTTAAAATTCTCTTTGCCTTAGTTTTGTCAACTATAAAATGGAAGATACTTATAATACTACTTATCTCCCAAGACTATTATGAGGATCAAATGAAATAATAATTTTAAAGTGCCTAGCACAGCACCTGGCATATAGTAAGCACTATATAAATGTTAGCTATTGTTATTGTTATTATATCTCCATTACTCTGGGACTGGGGTGGTACGTAGTGAAGAACACAGTGGAAAGAATACAACTCTGAAATCAAAGGACCCGAATCCAACCCTTTTTCTGAGATGTGCATGACTTTGGGCAAGTCACAGTCTGCCTGATCCTCAGTTTTCTCATCTATAAAATGATGGGGTTATAAAATGATTAAACTAGATGACTTCCGAGGTCCCTTCAGACTCTACGTCTGTGAATCTGTGACCTGCTCATAGATTCTTTGAAATTTAAAAAAAAATTTAATTTTAATTTTCTTTTAAATTCTTTTCCCTTCAATCCCAAGATCAGCCAGCAATTTATTTAGCCACTGATCAATTCTTTCTTTGAGCCAACTATTTCATCTACTATGTACTTCCTCTTCAGTGCCAAAGCTGTACGTTAGGCCCTGCTTAGTTTACGTTTTGAATGACTGCAGTTATCTAGCTTATTTCAGTTTCTTGCCTTTTGTTCTTGCATCTCATATAATATACTCGCAGCAAATTAATTACCATAAAAGTCTGCGTGCACCATGTCACTAACAAACATTAAACGGTTTGCTGTCATCCAAGAAATAAGATGTAGACATCTTGATCTGTCATTTAATCCCTGCCGTATCTGGCAACCTGTTATCCTCACAACCATATACAGACATGTCAATCGTGATTATTTCAGCTTTCATAATTTTTGCACCATTTGGAATGCCCTCTTGTGCTTTTCTCTTTCTCTTAATCTTACTCAACTTTCAAAGCCCAGTTTAAATTCCATCTTCCCCATCAAGCTTTATACTACCATTCCAGTCTACTTTGATCTCCACCCTTCTCTTTTAAAATTAAGTTTTCTTTTTTTTTAATATGTACTTAACATTTTCACAAACAGAAAAGGAGGATTGTATTGTCTTATAAATAGAAGGATTGTGAATCTTATATGCCTTGTTTAAAAATGTATGTATCATATATATTAACTTTAATATGAAGTACTAACATTATTCAGTTTGTGTCTCTGTCTGAACTTGTTTTGCTTTTGTTTCTTATTTTAAAAAAATGACTATTGCTGTATACCCACTCCCCACAACGCTCCCTTCCAAATAAAAATCCTTCCTTGTAATAATTGTGTATAGTCAAACAAAACAAATTCACATTTTTTTGTCTGAAAATGTGTTCTATTCTGCACCTCTGATGTTATGTGGGAAACACACTTCATCATTAGTCTTCTGAAGCTGGGACTGGTCATAGCAATTGATCAAAGTTGTTTTCCTTTACATTTTTGTACCTCTTTTTTTTTTTTTAAATTTCTTTAAGGTATTACAGCCTTTGCACCTCCCTCCCTTCCTCGCAACTGACATTTTCCTTTTTTTTGGTCATCTTTGCTACTTGTGAGGTAGAACCTCAGGGTCGCTTTAATTTGCCTTATTCTTTTTATTAGTAATTTGTATTTTTTATATGTTAATCATTTGCAAACTTCATTTGAAAATTGTGCACTTGAATCCTTTGGCCATTTATCTATTGGGAATAGCTCTTATTCTTATATGTTAATTTGCTATATATAGGATATTTGAACTATATCAGAGACATTGCTGTAGACTCCCCTCCCCCCCCAGTTAACTATATCTCTTCAAAATGATTGTTTGTGCAAAACCTTTCAATTTAACGTAATTAAAATTGTCCATTAAACTTTTGTGATCATCTGTATCTCTTTTTTTGTTAAATACTCCTATTTCCTTTCCTTCTCCTCTGATTTGTTTATGGTATAACCTTTTATGTCTAGGTCATGTATCTATTTAGGGCTAGTGTTACATGTTGTGAGATTATGATCTAAACCCAACTTCTGCCACATTTCTTCTCCACAAGCTTCCCTGTAGGGAGTTCAACTTGGTGTCCCTGAGTTTATTGAACACTATGGTACTATTTTTGATTGCTTCTGAGTATTATTACCTAATCTGTTCAGTTAATCAATGTTTCTATTTATTAACCACCAGAAAACTTTTGATCATTGCTGCTTTGTATCATAGTTAGAGATCTGGCATTTTTAGCCTGCCTCTTTCTTCCTTTTTTTCTACTATTTCCCTTGAGATGCTAGATCTTTTGTTATTCCAGATAAATTATTTTGTGTAGTTCTATAAAGTTACTCACTGATTGTGTGATTGGTATAGCATTGACTTTTAAATTTTATGAATGAGACCCAACCATGTGCAATTACTCTCCAATTATTCATTTTCATTAAGTACTGTTAAGCATTGCTGTGCAATTGTATTTGTGTAATTACTATAGCAAGTAATTATTGGCAAGTAGATACATACTGTAGGTATTTTCAGTGGAATTAATTTTTCTATTTTTTGAGTGATAAGCAGAAAGGTTGCTGATTTTGTGGGTTTATTTTATATCTTGTTGCTTTACTAGTTATTAAGTGCTTCAGTATACTTTTTAGTTGACTTATTCTTCCCTCTTCCTCATCTCACATCACTCTGATGCCTTCAGCCACTACCTCCTCCTTTACCCTTTTCATATAAAGAGTGGCCTTTTTTCTTGCCAGCATAAACTCTTCTACATGTACCCTGGATCCCCTTCCATCCTGTCCTCTCCAGCAGACTGACCCCTCTATCATCCCAGCTTTCACCTTCAGTCTCCCCCTTTACCAGTTGCTTCCTTTATTCCTACAAACACATACATGTCTTTCCCATCCTCAAAAAACTCTCCCTTGATTGGCCATCCTTGTTAGTTATTCCATCTCTCCTCGCTTTCTTGGCTAAACTCCCTGAGAACACATCTATTGTGTTTTTATTTCCTTTCCTCTTTTAACTTTGTAGTGTCTTCTGACCCTATGCTTCAAATGAAATTGCTCCCTCCAAAGTTACAAATTTGTCTCTTAAATGCCTAATCTATCTTAACCCTTACCTCTTTCTGACCACTTTGTAGACTTTGACACTGTTGGTCACCCTCTTCTTGATAGTCTCGAGGTTTTCTTGATGCTACTTTTTGGATTCTCCTCTTAACTGCTGCTTCTGAGTCTTCTTTGCTGGATCTTCATCCAAATTACATCAACTCACCATGGGTGTCCTCCAAGGCTCTGTCCTGGGCACACTTCTCTCCTCCTATATTTTTTCTGTTTGGTGATCTCATCGGCTCCCATGGATTCAAATACCTTTTTTTATGCAGATTATTTTTAGATTTGTTTAGCATTAACCTCTTTCCTCATCTCTAGCTTCAAATCTCCAACTGCCTATTGGACATCATAAACAATAAGTCCAAAACTGAACTCATTATGTTTCCCTGCCAGCTCTCTCCCTCTAACTTCCATATTACAATCAAGGGGTCCACCATTTTGCAGTCACTCAGGCTCAAAATCTAGGTGTCATCCTTAATTCTTCACTGTTTCTCCCCTCCCACATCCAATCAGTTGCTAAGTTTTATTGTTTCTACCCTTGTAATCTTTCTTAAAAATGCTCCCTTCTCTCTAAACATGGTACCTGGTACATCAAAGTGCTTGCCCACTGATCAATTATATTTAAAAATTTTTTTTATTTTCCTTTTATTTTTCAAGTCACTGGGGTGTATATGTCTTAGTGTGTACATACACACTATCTTGGATTGGAGCATCTTATTGAGTTCTTAGTAGAATGTCTCTTCATTCTTGGCAACAGATATCCATACATAACATACAATTATCTTCATTGTGGTCTTATGTTCATCATGAGAGCTCATGGGATGTGTACACTTTTGAGTTCATGAAGAAAACAAAACAACTCTATCAACTCCTTTATTTGCCTCTCCAAAGAGTACTCAAGAACCATCCTTCCACTTAGTTACAACTTATTGATTTCTAGTTTCATTTCTAGTGAGAATGATATTGCTCTTCTATTTGTATATTGACATGGTAACTGGGATAAAATTTCATTCAGAGTGAAACTCAGAATAAGACATTAATTTAAGTCAATATTTAGAAAATCTAAAAACTTTGATTCTTAGCACCTTTCCTCACTACTTCACTGCCACCATTACAGAAATGGAAAAGAGGACCATTTTTCTTTGTTTCACTGACTGCCGTGGTCTAAGAACTCATGATGTACATACTGTATCATAGGAACTTTACCTGATACTGTGAACCAAGCGTCACCAGTGTGTCATGGTGCAATTAAGGTTTCTGGTAAGTTACAGACTTAAAAATTAGGATCTGAAAAAGTACATTCAAGAATGTAAAAGACACAATTAAAGTGAACTTTGGAAAGTCTCATAGGATCATAAGATACTGAGCCAGAAGGAACCTTAGAGGTCATCTAGCCCAAACTCCCCAGAAGGAACCTTAGAGGTCATCTAGCCCAAACTCCTTATTTTAAACATAAGATTCAAACTTATGTTCATCAACATTTCCTTAGAATTTCCTGGTCCTTCTGTATTTAGTATCATGTATCTCTTCCTAGTATGTTGGAGAAACAACTGGCCATCCTGGGCTGAAGAACAATAAAGCTTAAAAATAACTAGAAAGTTGTATATGTGTTATATATAGTTTTCTTTTAAAAAGGAACCAAAAATATTATGGCTCACTTTTAAATTTATTTTGCCATGCTGTCAAGAAATTTAGAAACATTAGAAAAAATGTTAGAAAACTAAAGATTGAAAATTTGCTTTTTATTTCAAAGTCATAAATAATGGAAGCATAGTTCAGACCATTTACTAGACATATTATTTTTCAGTGACTTCTGATGTTAAAGATTTTATCTCTGAAGGTCTTTAAACAGCCCAAGATGATACTGAGATCTTGACTGGCAGGTATGGCCTCTTCAATTTGTACAGCATTAGAAATCCACAGTGAAAGAACATATTTCTCTGACATGTTTTACAGATAGTAGAAGTATATTTTTAGCAGCATCAAACAGGACAACTTGTTTCACATCTCCATTTTTACATAAATGCAGCAAGTATGTCAACTCATATTTAAAGAGAAGGGGAAAACAAAAGAAAAACCAAAACTCAATGGCACTCCTTGTCCATGGAAATTTTACATAAAAGTTTACTAATGTCCATGTTATCAAATTTTCTACAGATGTCTTTTAAATTATTTTTGAGACACAGTGTATGAAACACTTTTACACAAGGATTCAGTAAACAACAATAAATATCATTTTCCCTTTTCAAAACAAAAACTACATTTTTGGGGGAGGGAGTAGGGCTAATTTCTACACCATATTTTTAGTATGTTTTGAAAGGATTAAAAACCATGGGAAGTGTATTTATTACATACTAGGCCCTAACTACACATTTTTTAAATCTAGTTACCAAAGACAAACAAAATGGATTTCAATTAAATTGCTCAAATTTAGTGAGAGCAGGTGCCTGTGGCAGGTGGACAATATTAAAAGTTTCTTTAAAAAAATTAGCAATTTCATTAAATAAAAACCAAGAAAAACCAACTGCCATTTCTCTTAAATGTTAAGTTGAAGCCTGATATGTGCTGCCATGTCCTGTACACCCAAGCTGCTTTAGCTATAATAGCCTCATTTTCAGAGTGCATGTAAATGCCATTAATGGTGCTCTATTCCCTCATGAGTCTTGTTGGGTCCTCTTCTGTGAGGCTTTTCCCTGAGTCATGTATTTACTGGAAAGGCTGCCTACAGTGGAGAAAAACACAAACAAATCACGAATTATTCACTTTGCAATTAGCAAAATTACTTTCTACTTTTAATCATTTGCATCAGGGAGTTTGGCCTTCATTTCAAATCTTCACATGACTAGAATTATAAATGTTTCAAATATGAAAGGTTAGCTATAATGAAACTTCTTTAAAATGAAGTCTGGTTGTCACTAGCACAATTTTATTAAATTTACAATTAGCTATTATGTTGGTGTGGAGAGAGACATGAGTGAGCTCTAATGGCTAAGTACAAATAGATATGTACAGACTGGTATATAAGGAGAGAGAAAAGAAATCATCTTGTTTGAAATAAATATCCTGTACCAGTACTTTTCAGAAAAAGGTTAGAAGAACAGAGCTATGATGACAACTCACTGGGAAGCAGGTGGGAACAAAAGGAAAGATTTTGTTGCTTCCTCTGAATCTATAATGAGGATTCCTATTCTCATCCTTATAACACCATTGAAAAGGGAAGAGAAGCATAACACAGTAAGAATCTCAGCTGTGATATAAAAATTAAGAATTAATATAATATCCATCTGCAAGAAATCTTCAGTCTTTCTTGAATGAAGGCCTAATCAAATCTTCCTTAAATGGAACACTTACTCATATAGTACTTAGTTTCCCAGGGTATGAAGAAGGGTTGGACAGTACTTGCACATATCAAACACTTAATATATGCTTTTTGATTGATGGTAGATTGTTAGAGGTAGCTTATGGTGGTCAGAGTAAGAGTGGGAATATCTTTATGTTCATCAAACGAAGAGGTGTCCTTTTAATTTACTATTAACCAGCCTGAAAGTGGGAGGAGTCATTAGATGGAGTGGTTAGGTGAAAGCCACCTTCTCCAAGAGTACTGGCTCATAAACATTGGTCTTGGTATAGGAATTCTAAAACTCTTACTGAAACTATGTCTTTTTGTTCACCATTGCTGTACAGTTTCATCTTTTGTTTCACAATTTCTTTGTATGTCTCTCTATGTTTTCAGGTATCAACAGGAGTCTAGTAAGGTTGCCCTCTCTCTTCTACTATTACTTGATTTCTTTTCTTTTTTTTTGGACTGGACCAGCATTTCCTTGACCTGCTCTTTTTTTTTTTAATTTTTAGGCAACTGTGGTTAAGTGACTTGCCCAGGGTCACACAGCTAGTAAGTGTCAAGTGTCTGGTCTGAGACCGGATTTGAACTCAGGTCCTCCTGACTTCAGGGCCGGTACTCTATCCACTGTACCACCTAGCTGCCCCCTTGACTTGCTCTTATGAATGCCCTAAAATGCAGCACCCAAGTTCAGGTATCATCTGACCATGGTAAAGTAGAGTTGGAAATATCACATTCCTGTCAACTGTTAACACCTCTCTTTACACAGCCTAAGACCACATTAACTCTTTGGCCTGCTGTATCACACTGTGATTCTTTCATGAGGAATAAATGCAATATTCTTTTTGGACAGCAGAGAGGCATGGAAAAGGGTACTTTATTCAAAATCTGTTCCTTATGTGGATGAATTAAGTTATCCTTTCCTGGCTCTTTTACCCTTGCAAAAACTTCCTAGGCCCAACAAGAGTTCATGGCTCAAATGTAATTATGAATAAGATGCCCAGAATATTGTATTGCTACTTCAGTAAAACATATGGAGTAAGACTACAAATGATTTACTAATCACTTAAAAATCAATCTGCTCGTCTTATCTTGGTGAATTAGACTTTTAGAAGATGGTAGAATGAAAAGTTGCCAGGAAGCCAGTCTCCTCACATCTTCCTCAAAAACAACAAGCTATAAAAATATAAAACAGATAAACATGAAACAACATTCCAAACCAGAAGGTAGCAGATACAAAAAAGATGGGAAAAAACTCCATCTCACAAGATATCCCAAGAGATATCTTCAAATCAATGAATGATGTGCTTATAAAAATTTAATCAATAATTACCATTAGCAAGAATATCATACCAGGAAATAAAAGGACTTTGCAGAAATCAAAATGTCTCTGGAGGACCTAAAGGTAGAACAAAATGGTGCTAAAAATAATGGGAGTTAGGGAGAGAGAGAGAGAGAGAGAGAGAGAGAGAGAGAGAGAGAGAGAGATGACCAAATGAAGACTATAATAGGATCTGGAAAACATCAGAGAGAATGAAGAGCATGGAATCATAGATTTAGTGATGAAAGGGACATTAGAAGTGAGTCCAAGCACCACATTTTATGGATAAGAAAACTGAAGTCAGATGACTTGACTCAGGATCACACAGCTACTAAGTGTATGAGATGGAATTTGAGCCCAGTTTGTCTTGACTATAAATCCAGCATTCTATCCAGTAGAACAGAGGTGTCAAACATGTGGCCCAACAATCTTCCTAAATGTGGGCTGACCCGGAATAAAATGTAACTGGTAAATATTTAACAAAATAAAGATATAATAAAACATAGATATTATATTTCAAAACTAAATCAATATGCATCCTGCAGGGATTCTTATGTATAGGAGGCCCCTATTTCTAAATGAGGTTAACACCACTGCACTAGACCATAATGCAGGAAGCACATGATGAGTCTGGGAAATAGATGTCTTGGAAGCATGACATAGTACTGATTGAGGACTTAAATTAGCCAGATATCTACTATAGCACTCTTTCTCTCTCCAACTAATAATTTAACTAGCAGAGAAGGCTAATGCTTAACCCATCACCCACCTACCCACACCCACACACTCAGTACCTATTTCTTTGCAGCCACCATGAGCTGGCAGGGCTACATTAGCAGACCCATAGGCTTGCAACAGAACTCAACCTCTGCCCTTCTCAGGGTCTCCAGAAAATGAAAAGGCAGCAGTGCTCTGAGCTATAAGAGTATTCAGCTATAGAACTGAAGAAGAAAGGGAATTGAGACAGGGCACCAGTGTGTGTAGTATGTATGGTGCTCCCCTAAACTTGAGAAAAAGTAGAATGGCATTTAGTTGGGTCTTGTTCTGTCCCCCTAGAAGTTACTTGGAGCAGGCAGTGAGGTCAGTAAAATGCAATTGCCCAATGTGGGAGAAGGCTAAGATAGCTTTGAGGTCTAGCCCCAAGGGAAACTGCAAAAAAAAGGGGAAAGAGTCAGAAAGTGAGCAATAAGGAACTATAAAGAAAAAAAGACTGAAATTACCCAAGACCTGAGGAGGTAGAAACTCAGTTAAAGATGTTCTTCATCCTCCTTGATGTTTTACAGATTCTACTATATTCTTCATATTGCTCATCTCTCTCTCCCCCTCAATCCCATTATTTCCTCATTATTTTTAGCACCATTACATTCTACCTTTAGTTCCTCCAGATATATTTTGAATTCTGCAGGGTTCTTTTATTTCCTGGAATGATTTTCTTGCTAATGACAATTCTTGATTAAATTTTTATAAGCATAGCATTCACTGACTTGAATTCACTGACTCTTACAATATCTTGCAAGATGAAATGCTTTTTCCATCTGAACTTTAAATTTGAGCATAAGCAGATAAACCAACAGGAAAGATATGACAGAAGGTAATATGATTTCCAGATCAGCTAAGCAAATGTAAACATCTCTGAATAAATATTGTAAGACAAAGGAAAATGAATTAACATCTAATAATGAAGTAGAGGCCTCTGTGGATTCCCAAGACAGCATGGAATCACAGCAGGACATTTCCAAGTGGTATAAAAGAAAAATAAGAACTGTGAAAGCAGCAGTATAGGAAAAACCTGAAACCAGAGTGGCAAACTTCACCAAAGAAACAAAAGGAAGACAACTGATTGGGAATGCAAACACACAGCAGTGAAGGACAATCTGGAATTAGAGAAGCAAAAACCAATAACATTAAAAGACTATATGATCTGACTTCATATGTACTGTATTTCTTGCCTTCATACTAGGTAGCGGAGGGTACAGAGGGCGAGAATTTGGAACTGAAAAAATTAAAAGAATATATGATCTCTTTGCAAGCAAAGTATATTGATCTCAAAGATAAAACATACAGAAACAATTTTTTTTATTTTCAGTAATGTAATAAAATTAATTTTAATTAATTATAGGTCTCCCAGAAGAAAACACTGTAAGTTCAAAAACCTGAACATGGCAACATAAGAAATAATAAAACAAATCTATGCAAGATTTCTGAACACAGAAAACCCCACGTACCAATGGAAATAATCCACAGACTATCCACAGAAAAACAACAAGAACAATGCTGCAAACTCCAAGACACAGGATTAGATTTAACAATTCCACTCACAAAAAAGCAAATTCTCCAAGAGACTATGAAAAAACCTTTAAATATAAAGGAAATGAGCTTTTATTAACATAAGACTATTCTGAACCCACTAGAAAACATACAGGGGAATGGAATGCTATACTGGGATCTAAAGAGCAAAGGCGTTGAAGAAGCCACCCAAGGTGGCATACCCTGCAAATCTGAGCCATTGATTTAATTAATTTAAGAGGTGAACATTCCTACAAAGAAAACCACACATGGACAAACTATTTGCTTTTTAAACACCCTAGACAACAGAAATACAAGAAAGGAAAACAAATACAACTAAGGATGAGAAGAACAAAAAAAACCCCAGAGAGATAATCATTAAGCTTCTTTCTAAAATACACAAGGAGAAAAGGGTGAAAACAGAAGTCATATAGAAGATGAGATGGTTAGAGAAACAGACCTGAAACATCCTGGACTAAAATTTACAACAATGGACCTACAGCTGAATCAAAGATTTTTGTGGGACTAAACTGAAGAAAGGAAGAGTATGTAAAAAGGGAGAGGGGAAAAAGGAAAGAGAATTATGTTATGTACCCTAATCAAGTCAAAAGTTAATAATGAAGTGAAAATATATATGTATATATATATGTTCTGTAATCTCTCAGGAAGAAGAAACCCAGTAGAACAGGTGAAGAGATGAAGAGAAAAACTGAAACAGGGAAAAGACAGCAATATTGTTTCAATGGTAGGAGAAGGCCCACTAAAGAACATTCCT